TAGTAATTACATATAATTTTTTTTTTTAATATTTGTTGCCGAACAAAAGGCGTAGATTGATCAAGAGATGAGCGGCGAATTGCCCCAATAAATCTCCAAAAGCAAAAATTAGTTCAGTAAATATAAAACTTATTTTTTTGAGTTGGATTTGTAAACAACACACAGTTAAACGACATTTCAAAACTCGAAGAAATCTGATATTTTGATTGGTGACCTTAAGTGGCGGGGTTTCATTATTTAGCAGTTTTGTTTTACATACATAAATATGTACGGTTATGATCTATTGTCGATAATAATAAATATTTGACGTCATGCAACATGTACTATATTGTTTTGTTTTAATTACGTATGTTATGCTTTCTGCTGACCGTTACCGATAGCCACTATTCGTATTAAAAACAATCATCCGGGTTACTTCGGTTTCTACATAATATCTATCCTAAACACAGCCCAGAGCCCTTCATCCAAAGGGAACTACAAACCGGCCATGTAGACTACTGCTTTTATAAAACAGTTGATTTATAAATCCATCTGAATCTGGCCAGTTAATGATGCATTATGGGCGAAACGTGTATTTTCTTAATGTTTTCAGGATTTTTTTTAAACAAAGGAACAGGGGCGCAGCGCCCTCAAGCCATGGTCTTGCACCCCTTACCCTTGGGAGCACCTAGAACCTCTGGCAACCATAAAATTCTGATTGACCAGTCTTGAACTGTGACCTGTTTGATAGTAATTTTGGCTCGAAGGAAGCCATGGAATGCTCCATTTTAACTTGGAATTATCAAAAGCTGGTAGGTAGGGAGAACCCTAACTCTCCCACTCTCCCCCATTTGGTGGCGCTGCTGAATTGCAGTGCTCCCTCTTGCAATTTTTTTCTAAGAAAAAATGTTGTTTGATGTGGCATTTTATGTTCCAAATTGGATTATTATTTATCCTTTTGAACCACTCTGTATAGTATTGTTTGCATGGAAAATCAAAACCCATAATGCACATGTGCTGGGATTGTTGTTGTACATACCAAAACATTTACTGAACACGTGCCTTTAAATTCATTGCGAGTTTCAAGAACAACGCAGAGACGACGACACGAAATTATGCATGGGGACGAGGTCTGTTCACCATTCCTTGCGCCGTGTAGGCATCGCGCATCACCCACACCCCGGTGCCGCCGTCACTGCAACGTTTTCAGGTCGTGATAAATCATAATCCAATGTATTCATTATCATGAAATATCAAACAGCAATATTAAAAATGTTCTCATCCATCCAATGGCAATGTTATGATATAAATGTGTTTTTTATATATATATTTCCATATGAGACATAATTGTTATTTTAAGCCAGTATTTTTGATGTTTTCTTTTTTTTTTTAACGTGGTTTGTTGCGTAACTCACATGGTAATATAATGAACCCTGTTTGACACATCAAATGGAAAATATAACTGTATAAAAAAGTTAGTATATGCTATTAGATGATATAATCCCTTGTAATGCATGTTTCTATAGAGATACTATTACCCCGCCCCTTCCACCCCACGCGTCCCACGGATAGCTCTACACTTTTGGTGTATATTATAAATAATATATTTGGCCAATGTATTGTCATTGTGTGTGGAAAAACATTATCTCATTACGCCCGTGAACTGGCCATCACCTTAGAAAAAAAAAATACGTCGCTGGTCCCACGTAATATTATCTCATCATCATCTTCCCACCTTATTATTCACTGTGTGAAGGACTGAAGAGTGGTCCCAACAACAAGGGAGATAATATTATCCCCCAGTTGTGCCAAGAATGTTTCAAAGTTGAACTGTTATGTCTTTGTATATTAAAAGTAATCTTCGAATTAAACATTATGCGTATATTCTGTAATCGTAAGCAAAGTTGTTGAAAGTCTTATAATTTGAAATTCATGTATTCGTTCTTCAGAAATATGATACTAGCCACGTACGCTAAGATCTTCTTTATTATTCAAATTAAGTTGTATTCAAGCATAATAAAATAACAATGATATTGCAGTATCATTTCATGATACAAACTTATAATAATTATTCGTCTTTGCTGACCAAGAAAGGCTCGATTACTGGTTGAATACCACTGTCAATTATACGAACAATCTTCTTAGGAAAATGGTATTCGTCTGTGTCAAGTTCACCGATACGTTCAATGATATCCTGCGTGAAAGAAAACAGATGATAAAGATGGCGAGACTCGTTCATGTTTCCCATGGTGCTTTGCGCTATGTTTACTTATCATATGTGATAGACATGATAAAGGATTATCCATTTAAAAAAAAATAAGGGAAAAGGGGGCTAAGGGTTTTGGTTTTCAAAAATATTTAATTCACCTCTTATTCCCATGAACATATCTTATTTCTGTTATTTTAATTCCCCTCTATTACATCATAGAGACATTATGCGTTTTGTTTTGTTTTTTCTCTCAAGATCACCATCGAAACATTTTTTCAGTTGGCGAAACCCTAAAATATCACGTATATTTGGTAATGTGTCTGTTGAACATCGACAATTGGGGGATTTGAGCTGGTCCAGTACATGCCTTGTTTTCCTCGCGAAAAACGTGAGAACAGTAGCTGTAGTTCAAAGGATATTATGTTCAAATAGACAACTAATTTGTGTAACTCGTTTTTTAGAACTGATACGATGTATGAGTCAACATCGGGATATCAGAGATATGGCATGTGAAATGCATCAGTTGTAGAGCGCCGCGAGAGTCAATAATTTGGGAAACGTTAAACACAGTTGGGGAAAAATATATCTTGAACGAGGTTGATATTATAATTTCGGCGGAAATGTCTTGTGTCCCCAAACTCAAACACATATATTCACGGAACTAGGAAATGTTGAAATACTTTAGTTCTTACCATGCCTTTGATAATTTTTCCGAATACCACGTGTTTACCGCCCAACCATCTTGCTTTTACTAGTGTGATGAAGAACTGTGATCCATTTGTGTGAGGTCCAGTGTTCGCCATGGCAACGTAACCCGGACCATAGGGTATGAGAAAGAAGTTTTCGTCATCGAATGATTTCCCATAGATGCTGATACCTAGAAAAATATAAGATAGGATGGTTCAAGACAGAGTACATTATTTTGATATCGTTATATTTTTAACAAATATCTTAACCATACATTGCCTTGTATTACCGTGTCACACATAACAAACTGACACTGGGCCATGATTGTTGTTATTAAAGATGGCAGACGGACGGCTCTCACACAATGAACGAAGTGGAAATATATAAATCTATTCACAAGTTAGCATGCTTTTAGGTAGCAGTCTGCAAATATATTTTTTGCTAATTCTGTGTGATTTCTCACTCATATGTTTGTCATTTTGGAAAATTAAATGAAATTGTGATGGGAAAAATTATTATTATAATTACGTGTATTTCTCAGGATACCGATTTCATAATGATGTCAAACTATGTCACCCCAATCTGATTAAAATTTAATGTATTATACGGCGTGTATTGTATTTTATTTTATATATATATTTTTTTTTTTACGTATTTGTGATTCGGTATATTTTCAACTATCGCCACATACAGATCCTTGTTTTGGCATTCGCAATTACTAAAACTTTAAAAAACTATCAACAAATAAATAATAGATAAATAAAATGAAAAACAAAAACAAAGATCTTATTTTAATCAGATTGATGTCACCACCACAAGGAAGGTTTAATAACGTTATTGACACACGAATCATACACCTTGTTCTTTTTCTATTATAATCAAACAATAATTATGATAATTCGTTATTTTGTTGGCTTACTTTCTTTTTCATTGACTAACATAATTTCATACCTTTCTCATGCCACGTGGAGGGTGAAATGCTCGACCTGTGTAATGGCGCATTTTAGAGCGCTAACGAGAGTTTCCCTGGAACATTTAACCCAGATGCTGCAGCAATAACGGTTCGGTCTCTTATCGACACATAATCATGCACTAACAGTGGACCAAATTAAATCTACCGCGAGAATGTGTCAATTAATCCTAGTATGCCCAATAGATCTGATCTGCCGATATAATAATAATAACTAATACAACACTTATGCTGATGCTTATTGTTGGTCTTAACAATGCAATGGTAAAATAGTTTTACGCGCGGTGACAATATTAGTATTTGTTAGCAGTCTATTCAGAATATTTAGCATTTATCCGGTGCTAATATCAAGCCTGGATTTGAACAAGTCCAAGGTAGGTGATAAGAGAATGTACTCCGGTAAAGAGTTCCAATTATTATCAATTCTGAAGATGAAGCTATTCTGAGTTCAGTGTTACATGTTTTTTCTTTCAACTTTAAACTATGCCTTCTAGTGGGCTTGTAGACATTAAGCTGTAACCAATTTTGATCAGTTAGCTACACATGGTGTGTATATGTGTACGCTTCAATCATATCATCTCTCGTTCTTTTGTATATTAGAGATGGCACATGAAGTCTCCCAACATATGAAATATGACTAATCGCAGTAACCGACTTAGTTGCCCGACGATGAACACCCTTAATAGTCAAGAAGTCAACTTTGAAACGGGTTCGCCATATTGAACTCCCGTATTCGAGAAGTGGTCTGACTATTGACTTAAATTATGAAACTTACTTCCACTTCCATCTCCTTCAGTGACATCACCACCCTGAATGACAAAATCTTTGACAACCCTGTGGAATATCGTGTTTTTGTAGGTAAGGAATTGTCCCCTTCGTTCAAATCCCTTCGTCAGAGCGGCAAAGTTGTTGCATGTTATAGGAACAGTTTCACAGAAAAGACCGATTTCAATTCTCCCAACTGGCATGTCGTCAATTTCAAGTTCAAACCAAGCTTTCTTTGTTATCAGGAGATCATTGCTATCGTCACGGTCTTCAAGAGGCCCTGAAACATGAATATACATATAAAGATGGTTTGTGCCTTTTTCTCTCAAATAATAATAAATTTTAGCGTATTTTTTTAGAATGCACCGTGGTTCTTGTTCTCACCATCAGTCGTTATAGAAAGCACAGTTTCTGAAAGAAAAGATATTATAGCCCTTATTTTCGTGTCAATAAACCACGCATGCGCACATCTATCAGTAAGTATCATGATTACATCACAATGCGCGCTTTTCATCGTTATTATATTAGTAAAGCAAGCCTATAATAACTTATATTAATTAATTATTTCGGTTGTTATTTTTTCATTCCAGTCATTGAGTAAATCAAGCCTTATTTTATCTATTTTTCTAAATGTTATAGCAGATGTGTACTGAATACCGATGGCCGATATTTTATTTCTCTACATTTCTGTGTTAGGACGCCAACTAGACCAAATGTAACCACATTTTAGGATTATGTGGTCTATCGAGTTACAGCTTTTGATCATTATTTTGAAGTGTACTAGTATTTGAATATATTTAGTAGCTATTTGAATTTAAGGTAGAAGCCTGCTCATAATGTTTGAGAAAGTTGGTCATAAATCACATAATAGTGTTCATTAGTTTATTATGTACAGTCATGGAGGTATAATAATTCCATTGTAACAGGAAACTGTACCGTGCCGTGTATTAATTGTTTTCTAAAAAATACTGTTCCATAGGACATAGTGTTAAAAAAAAATTGCAGTTGTTGTTACCGTTTATCAGACATGATATATACCGTGACGTCAGCAGCTTACAATTTGAGAGAATGAACAATGTCATAGTAATGGTAAATGTGTTACAATACTAAATGGCAGCCATTCACTAAAATACAACCTCATTTTTTCAGAAAATAGGCTGGTGATCCCCAAGATTTTTAAGTCAGTGTTCTTTTACAATTTAGTGCAAAGTGGTCATCGTCATTATGCGTATTATCATGTATGAGTAGACCTGTACAGAAAGTTCATACCAAATATTTGTCACTCTACTCCACTTTATTTACGGCGGTTTGTCACATTATCAAAAAAAAAAAACAATATTTTTATTATTATTAGACATGGTTGTATCAATATCCTCGTTTACGATATATTTCTGAAGTATTAAACCATGTTTTGAGTGAATAAATTTTATTAAGGGAAAATAATTTATACTAGTAACATGTGTATCTGGCTCCCGGAACATAACACCTGGACTTAATTTAATCGCTAGAAATATCTTCATGCACTACAGAAAAGTTTCGGTTTCTTAGAAGTGGGGGAGCCTTGGCAGCTCAACATATTAGGCCTGAATTCATTTGTAATAATTCACAATATATAAATCCAATGATATCAAACATTAACTCACCTGTACGTTTCTTAATTCCGGCCTTAAACTGCCTTACCTGCCCGCTGTCGCTTAAAAATATCGTCAGGCATAAAAATAAAAATATGTGTGTTAAAAACCGATGCATTTTGTCCATGTATAAAATGTATGCTGAACTATGTTTTCACTGCTTTACGACTGACACGCGATCGGTGCACGTCTGGTTTTAATTGTCTTAGGACTTCGTGGCATTATTTTTTAATGGGAGGCCCCCCCCCCATAAGCAATCATTATGCAAATATGGTATAACATTGCCTTAAGTTCCAAATTTCGACAAAATATTGCGCCGAATAAGTAGTTTTCATCATTTCTACATTAACACGGTGATAGTCAATGCGCGGAATGTGTTACATGTATTTAACTAGGATGGCAATTAGAACAATTTGGATTTGTGTTGCTGATGAATAACGAAACTTTGCACAAAACTGTGATGGGAAAACAAAGCGAATATGTTATCCATATGATATAGCGTAGTGTTCCCACCAACCAATCGCCGCCATGCCAGCTGCGTTTGAATAATTGCATTGTAGTTGTATTTATGGTTTGAATAATAGAGATAGTACAAAGATCCACGTCGGCAGTCAGAGGCCAAAGTGTATGCAGGGGGAGGGGAATGACGGGGAGGGTGCGCCACATTTATCAGTAAATATCAGCGAAGAAAAATGAATCGGGACGTAACTGTTTTGTTTTTTTTTCGTTTTTTTTTCGTTTTACTTCGTGCGTGACATTAATGTCATCAGTTGGTGCGTTGCTAAAAAACATAACTAGACTTTAAAGGTTCATTCTCACCCCAGGAAGCGAAGGACACTCGGTTGCAGTTATATATTCTATTCACGGTAAATGCAAGGGTCTAATGTTAAATGGACGATTTATCAATATTTCACCAATAACGGGGGTTTTGAGCATTGTGAAGCTTTTCGGTCATTTGGAACCAACATTTCTGTAACATGCTTTAGTTTTAGTTCGATGGCGGCGTATGAACCAATTGAAACATAAATGTGTTTGAAATACTGTCTACTCTAGAGAATTCCCATATCTGTGTTACATGCATTGAGTCTGTTGCAAAACCCCAGACAGTAATATAACATGGTTACTTAGTGTCCGAATCTTGAACATATCATTTAGACAATTCCCCCGATGTCGTGCGTTGTCTTTGCAATTTTCGGGTGATATTTAGACGTAACGATAGCGCGAATGCGAACGTTCTGTGGTTAGGCAAAAAAACACAACTTATGTTGCCCTCAAGTCGGAAAATTGGAAAAAATTGGGTCGGTCGGTCGGATTTTTTCTAAACTCGTGAAAACTAAGAGTATCGTAAAAAGCCGAGGTATATGGACTTCGTAGTATTCGGAACATGTCAGAGAAATACAGATCAACCCGAGGTTCAATGTCGCCACTTATCCCCCCGAGGACCCTGGGGATCAAACAACAATCAGGGGTCGTTAATTTTTAGATGAAACAATTTTTTACTGCTTAAAATGGTGAGTTTTTAATATTTGGGCCTATTAAAAAAAAAAAAACGCAATCCGATATTTCATCATATTTTTCGGTCGGTCGCTGAGGGAACAAAACATTTTTAGTATCGAGTAGTTAAAGTTCGCCATTTTTATTGCATTTTATGATTCAAGTTAGAAATCCACTTTATCGTTAGCAATAGGTGTAAGTCCATAACACTACTTGTCCCCATTCTCGCCATTTGTTACTTTTTGCCGTGACATTTGGAACTTTTTATAATGTTTTTCTAAAATCAAAAAATCTCGAGAAAAATTATGGAAGTCCAAAAAGCTAGCGGAAAAACACAAATGACGGTATGAAAATAAATACAACTATGAACGACAACTGAATTACCAGGCATAAAACATTTTTAATTTAAAATAAAAACAAGAACAAGTCGTAATGATCAATATTTTTGTTCCGTATCAAGTATGAATCACACATTCAAGTAATAAATATGGAATATATTTACATTGCAATGAAAGTTGTGGTATTATAAGTCCTCCGTGACGGTGCGTCTTTCTTATTGGTCCTGGGGCGAATTACTTGTATGACGTCACTGGTTGAAATTGTAATCGTTCGCCAGTAAACAAAATAGTGCTTTTGAGAGATTTACAGTATTCCAATAGACGAACTACTGCACAACTAAACACAATAATCGCTTTGAGCAAAGTCATTTACATCTTTTTGACGTCATATGAGCGTTTCGTCGCTAAACGCAAAGGAAATTGTGTAATGATAGAAAACAGTGACGTCACGTTTACATTAAATGAATTATGAAGTTAAAATGGCGGATGATTTTGGCAGTAATGTATGACGTCATATGAGCGTTTCGTCGCCAGACGTAAAAGAAATTGTGTAATGGATGGAAAACAGTGACGTCACGTTCACATCAAATGAATTATGAAGTTAAAATGGCAGATGAATGTGGCAGTAATGTATGACGTCACCGTGGAAGTGTATATTGCAATATGCCGTATTTAAGTCAAAGCTCTGAAATTATTGTAATAAACAAAATAGGAATACATAATACACATTTTTTTAAATTATTCGCATATGCTGCATGTTTGCATGGGGTTTGTTATCTTAATTAACCCGATTAATGGTTTATTTCTTTCTAATGAGCAGGAATGTACAAATAGGACTGATAAATCATTGGACGGCAGTAAGACTACGCTGTACGCGTGGAAATGCGCGAAGTATATCTGGTACCACTTTAATGTTGAGAGAGATGGCGAGAGAGCGCCCTCATACGAAACACGTCGTTGGACCAAACGTATTCTGTGGACATCGCGGCGCACTACGAACACGTGACCTATTTCAAATCATCGGAGAATACTTGACATGGCATGGTGGGGAATATTAATGCGGTGACATTCACTTGCTTTCTTGGCCTTTTTCCGTTCTTTTTGGTTTTGTCGATTTTAAAAGAAAGTCTTTCTCGTTGACTTGGGTGGGATTACTTCCGTCTGACCTGTAACGTAATTAATTAATTAATTAATTACAATCAATTATTATTATCGTAGAAAACATTTTTGGAGCAAAAATTATAAGAATTATACTGATGACTGAAACATACCAATTAATACTTTGTAACCATAACGACAGTTTTGCACTAATAAAATATCTGATCATACTGATCACATATTTTAAAAATCGAATGTACTCAGACTGGATTTCCCATAAGATAAATCAAGTGCAGTTTGTTTAGATAAATCAGATCGTTTAATCTGCCTTTATACGATGTGAGTCCATAAACCATGATCAAATTGAGTCAAAATCAATTACGTCACGTGACCGCTATGAAAAAGTCGCCATGGTGTTCTTTTATTTCACACTACTATAAGGTTAATACGAAGATACCTCAAAGTATGCACGAAGACAGTACACCGGAAGTATCGACCGACGCGCAGTGTAGGTCGATGCGAAGGTGTACTGTCTGAGTCCGGCCAAACCCTGGTGGCAGCCATGTTTGTTTTAATTATTAGTGGACGCTTACGCGCGTAATCAATCCATATTTGGAATTCGCATTTCCTAATATGATGGGATGAAAATACCCCGTAAAATACCACAAAATTACGGCACGCTGTCACGGTAACTTATGGGGTTACGGTGACAGATGTATAATAATAAACATGGCAAGCATATGTCTATCCAATATATTGAGAACATATTTCAGTGAATAAGTACATACATTTGTGTTGTGACCCTGATTTACTTACCCGCGACTTGGCAAGTCATCCATAGTTTCTGGTAAGTCTGTATTGTACGTTTCTGGTACAAATACTATAAGACTGCACGACATCACGACCAGAGCACTCATAGTGATGAAAGGAATTAAGTAATACACGTCCATCAATGCCACGATGTACGGAGCGGACAACGCCCCCACGTTTTGAAAACCGAACGCAAGACCCATTCCAGCATTTCTATATAAAAAAAAAACACGAACAATTGTTGAACGCAACTTGTGGCCGAGATAATTAAAGTTACAGAAATGACACGAAAACAGTATAAATGTTCGTATTGTGTCTTGTATTTGTTGTTTTGTTTTCATGTACTTGGTGTAGGTTCAAAACATGTACATTTCAGTGAACGAGGTTGTTGATAACCTTTGCGAAATTTGCTGTCTGAACTTTAGACAATTAATTTCAAAATCCCTCAAAATAATTAGGAGCTACCGGTAATGTATACACGATAAACGTTGTACGTGGCCAAAAGATTTAAAGGGCTGTAGTCGTCGCGCCACGCATGCGCGAAATGTATGGGTCTCATAAAAACAAAAGAGAAAACTTTGACTGTTACAAGTACAAACTTAGACGTTGCCAATCTTTTATTAGGTATCTTTTTAGGTGATTGGGTGGTATCAAAGGAGTCACCGACGGTAATTAGTGCAAGTCGCGCCCAGGTCAAATCTCTTACTTGTGATTCCATTAGAAGAGTGCATTGAATTGTGGGAACGCGACGACAAACGCTCTTTAAGCTTCACAGTTTTTGAAAGTAGTTTTTGGGGAAAATGAAGAAACAAGTCTGGCTACTCTTGGTTTACCAGAAATGAACATAATTGTAAAATATAACAATAGCAAGAACATTTACTGGTGCAGAAAATGTTTCGATAAAATAATTTTGCGTAAATTTCTTGTTCATTATCTAGTACCCAGAATGTAAACAAATATAATGACATTGACAAGAAGTAAATAAATTAGAGGTCATCGAATAAACTAATTTTCGAGACTTAATAAAAACAGTATTAAATTATGGCCATATTGTCAGTTTCTGGAACGTTTTGATTTATTGCTCGCTATGGTGGTGAACAATCTCCCAATTGTCTATTGTTACCTACCTGACTGTTGTTGGAAAAGACTCCATGGATAATAAATACATGGATGTATAACTAATCTGATTTAAAAACTTGGTAAGTATTCCAAAACTTATAATAACAGCTTCTATGTCTGTGTAAAAAAATATCAAAACATTATAAATAATTTATTGGTATAAAGAAAAATTACTTATTATCGCATCCGGAATGTAACCACGGGATAACATGGCATATTGGGGAACGAGGATAGTATCCTCAACTTAGTAAAAACATATCTTACTGAGGTGTATGGTAGATAGTACCAAGTTGCCATAGCAACACATCTAAATTACACAATTTGTTTCATTTTTTCTCAAGATGATTTCCGTAGTAAAATCAGAACTATTTTCTTTCAAGTTATTACATATACGAGTGGCGTTATTGCAATGAATTAGCAATCATGAGAACGAGGGTGGTAACCCTAACTCATTAATAATTTCAATGCATGCATGTAGTGTAGTACAATAGACGTAAATCGGGAAAATTTGAGTACTATTGTTATTATTGAACAAAGTCGACACTCTCAGCGTAATATAAATTATCATGGTAGAAATAAACGATGTTTAAAAAAGTGTGTTTTCGTGCGACTACCTGTCAAACCAGTCACCATCCACGTCACGCCACTTAAGACCGACACTACCACTAGAACAATCTTCCGTGGCTGGTTGTTCAACCAAAACCAATTTAGAAAAATGGCAGGTAGCTCAAAGACGCCCATTAGCGTAAATACAGCATATGGATGACCGGGAAAATAATAATCTGTGTTTTCGGCGATTCCCATGTACATTAGATTGACGGTAAACCTGTGTAAAAAAATATACAACGTCACTCAATTAACATTCACAGAAACAAAAACACAAAACTAACATTTAATGCCGACTATCCACACACCCATATGCCTCGCATGAAATTCAAAATGATTAAACATTCTCAAAACCGAAGCGATGGACCCAGAGCTAGCTTGGCCTAAAAGTCTCAGATCCAAATTTTGCAATTATTTTACCAAAATAATTGAAAGTACCTGTCGTTGAAGCTACAACACTACAGGTAAGATATTCGAATTTGTTTGCATTCTAAATGTCAGAACAATATTTCGCTGTAATTTTAAAGGAAATCGGAGCTATTAGGTCGCGCCCTCTAGAGTCAAGGCACTGCAGTGGTGCCATAGGTGAAGAGAAGGATGTTTATGAATGAATGAATGAAATTTATTTCACCAAAAAAAAACAAAAAAAAAAACGGTAAAGGTAGAAGTTGCACAGGTAGTAAATACATATAAATAAATAAATAATTAAATAAATAAATAAACAAATAAATAACGAATTCTACTTAGATAACTTTTCTTTTTTTGGTGGGGATTACAGATATAGTTCATCAGAACTAGTCGAGTCCGTAACCCCTGGATATATAATTTCATAGTTTAATCACACAAATTTCCAAATAAAGAAAGAAAGAGAAAAAAATATTACAAATCAGTTTTCAATTGAGCTTTTTTAGGAAACTCCTTTTCACAATCCTCACATAGTCCGGGGTTCATAGCTGCAGCTACAGTTTTGAGTATATTATAAAAGACGAACGACAAATCCAAAGTCCCTTGGGGAATTGCGACATAACCAAGCAAAGTTGTTGTTTTAGTACGGTTACTTACTTTTTTTAGTAACCGTGCTTTGGACGACATTGTTTTCACTTATGTATGTCATGTTTACATCATCGAAGAATTTAGTCGCTAGAGGGCGCTGCTTACAGGAAAGGTATATTCCGCGAAATACATTGCAGGCATTGTTGAACAACGGCAATTATTACTATTATTCGGCATACGTTTATAATGAGGTTAGTTGAGTTATTAATAAAAAATATTTACCAATTGAAACAAATTATTGCAGTCGTGACCTTTAAACCAGGCATCCGTATAAGTTCAAATGCTGTGTGGTGAACAACCGGTTCCTGTGACAAACAAACAAACATTTCATGGTCACGTTTAAAAACAAATAGAATGAAGAGAAACATGGACATAAAAATAAGACAAAGACAATATTTCATTTCTTCGTTTGTTACATTGTCGCTATAAATTGATTGTTTCTACCTTTTCCTCTGTAAATGCCGTGACGTCAACAAGAGCCTCATCAAGAACTGCGCCGTTTAATGTCGCGATCTTTTTGATAATGTCCTTCGCCTCATCGTGTCTACCCTGTTGTATCAACCATCTTGCAGACTCTTTTATGAAACTTGGAAATATAAAAATAACGTTATAAGCTATATGGCCCATATCGACTTTGTAAAAGATGAGAACGGTCACGTATACCTTACTTGAATATGATTTAGTTTATCCCATCGTATCGATGAGAAAGACTTGAAATATTTCAAATTAAAGACGATCCTCAAAGAGGAACATACATAATTTTTTTGTTATTATGTTTTATGCAAACGATGTACATTACATGCTCCGTATTCGTCGCTATGGAAAATATATCAAACATGACGCGACTAATTCGTTAAACCACAGTCCCTCTATATAGGGACTGTGGTTAAACACCACTCCAATAAACACATATCTACGACGCTAGTGACATCTCATTGCAAATTTAAAATATGCAAACGTCACAGACTATGGTATATCGTAAGTGGTCTCCATGTAATGAAATACCCTTTGTTCATTGGTCAGTTTGAAATCACGTGATGTCCGAGGACTGGCATCACTTTCCAACTTGTCAACCAAATACATTTACAACAACAATAAGTAATTACTAGCATCGTATCTACGCCAGTGAAGTGACGTCCAATGAGTGGAGCGCCGCATATATTCTACACTTATAATTTCTCTGGGTGAAACAATAACTTAACTCACAAGCAATACGGTATGAATATAATACATGATATGGTATTTATATACTGCATCCGTCTCCAGTTACCGTGCATGATGTACGCCATGATGCCCAATGTGATGCACCCAAATGTATATGCGATCTCGCACAGAATTACAGCTAATGGTTCATAAGCCGATGAAACTACTTCTACGACTGAAATGGGAAAAGAAACCGAAGAGCAGTTTAATAGAAAGGTTATGTTATCTGGAATCAAGTGTATGGAAAAATCAAACTTGTAGAACTGAACGGATGTACAAGAAATGTTTGGCTCAACTGATCTGTATGTTACCGCGTGATGCGAGACTTTTCATGACAACAACATTATACTGAGGAATGTGCCGACTACTGACTATCGCTGAGTTAATTTGTTTGACCAACGTCTTGGACACTGTTTAATTCTCTGAGGAAAACTAATAAGCCCGAATAGACACTATATATGTCTAAAATAAATACAACATTAATAGTGTTCAATTTCTGGTCGACTTACCAATTACGCACCCAACAAGGTACACGCCCATTGTTAAAATTGTCATGACAAACTGAGCAGAAATGACCAGTGCAAACGATGGCATAAAACACAAAACGGCGTTAAACACAAGTGCAAAGAGTAAACTGGAAATGTACGTGATTCTTCTACCAAACCTATAGAGAGAACACGTTAAAGTTGTTACCGTGACATCTATCGTAAACATCTAATTATTCAATATTTGAAGTAATTCAACACCCATATTTCAACGGAACAGATGTATACCATGACACGTGCTTACACTTAAAGTATGCATGTATATGTAAAAGTGACCAACTAAACAATGCTTATAATTAATTTAAAAGTCGATCAGAAAATTACGCATGCAAAACAACCTTTCTATAACACGCGCCCTCCAGTGACAAGGTGATGATGTGACGTAATAGGAGACACGAAATCTTAAAACGTCAACATCATTTTGATCTGCAGTAGTCCATCACTGATAATAACATTTTGAGAGATTTTATAATATTCTTTAAAACGAACGACTAAACAACAACAATCAGTAGTTGAATTGAACGACGTTATCTTCACCTGAACGCATGTTGGTGTTAGAGGGCGCAAACTATGTGTATTCAGTGACTTGATATCGCCGAGAAGATGCAAAAACAAGAATCCAAGGAAATTGTTGGAAAGTTCCAACCATATTCGGGTTATCGCGACAATGAGCTTGCAACTACTGCATTTAGTATAGTATATATTACATCAAATGTCAATGGCTTCCAATAACATAAAGAACGTGAAGCATACTCACATATCAGAAAGTTGTCCATATGCCAATGACCCTATGAATAAACCAATAGCAACAGTAACCTTACACAGCTGCTTCAACCATGCCTTATTGCATACTAAATCAAACTGTAATAAAAACAAATGTCCAGGACTTAAATACTAATAAAATATTAGCACGAGGGTAGTTTGTGTCACCAGGGCGTGAACTTTACTAACCAATGAAAACAACGTGATCAATATGAACAGCGCCAATACCGTCGGGTTCACCTGGCTATATTTGGCATTTTACTACTTTTCACAGAAAAACTATCCATAAACATATCAATGTTTGGTCAGTTTATCAACAGTTTTTATGGCAACAGTGGCAAATGGTAAACAAATAATTAGCTATGGTACTTTGAACGATTGTCATCATTGTCTTATGCATAATTATTTTTAATGAAATATAGTTCGTACTGATTTTTAAGAATTAAATGTGTATCCATTTTGAAACAAGAGAGTTGTTTGTTTGCGTCTATTTGATAGGTCGAACATCAGTTGTAACTGCGCAAAAATGTAAACAATGCGACAGCAGCTTTATACATTTTGGCCGATAGTTACTTTTTGACATAAAATCTGGCTTGGTGGTCATAAAAAACTATAATTATATCACAACAGTAGTAACGTCAGCAAAAACTTTATTTGCCCAAATTCCCCAGCTTTGCTGAATCGGTTATTGAAGAGGTACATATATATTGTTCGATGCACGTGCGCAAATACTTAAGATTAATGCCAAGTGCCATGGCGGGACCATGTACGTAGCAATAATTCAAAACGCATGCGCACACGTGGTGCATTATTTCAAGAAACAAGTACTATGGGATGCATAGACAACGTCCTAGTTTACAATTAATAACTCTATCAAGATTCATTACGATAATACAAACACCTCAAAGTTAGGCATCGAAGCCTTGAAGATCTACTTTCACTTACCTCAGTCACAAACGTATGAGAAAACTTTGTTTGTTCGTAAACCCATCCGTCATCGCATTGGCTGTATTCATCGGTATCGTTGACGTCAAACAGGGATGACGTATTGTCATCCAAGTTATATCGTAAACACGATTCCCAGACAATTTCATCCCCGTCGTAATAATAGGGTATCGTTATATTCTTTATTTCTGAGTTGTGTTCGTAAGTCTGGTTATCCAGGACTCTACAATAGTAATCAGACACGGCTGCGAAGAACGTGTTACTCAGCGTGATCCATGTGAAGGGGATAATGGCGATGAATACGAAAAACAACTGAGTCTTTTGAAATCTACCAATCCCGCCGATCGATTGGAGAATATCTTCATAATTCATATTGACCAAAGGTCAAGGGTCAGTATGATTGTTTTTGAGAGCTGTAATTCCGGAGGAGAGAAAATTATAATTTGAGATTATTGATGAAAATAGTTTATAAATAGACGCAGGTATCGAACTATTTTACTAAATCCGGGCTTGAAGCGTTGATAAGATGGTTTATAAGTTGGATCACATGAAATCGCTCCCTGGTGTAGTACTAGCTGTATATGCGAAGACATCATTCATGTACTTGTTAAAGCATTGACTGTATAGATTCAGATCAACAGCATAGTACAGATAAAAAAAAACTCGTAAAGATGTGGCTTCTGTTTCTACCTTGTCCTTTATTTGTACATGTTTGCCCACGTGCTTCTGCTGTAATTAAATAAAAAAAATGTCATATCAAAATACATAAACAATTGTTCTGGCCTTGCGTCATTTGCTCCGGTCCCGTCGTAGTTGGCGTCTTAAACAGCACTGACGCAAATTCATGGATACTCGGGTCAACGCAAAGCAAAACTACACAACCACCTGTGGAGAGTCAGTGGAGTCAGTTTTCAGTAACGAAGGCGGAATTGAACGCGTATTTTGTTATAAACTGGCATTATTGATTGTAGTACATGTGATTAAATGTTGGAAACATTGTTACATCTTTGCATAATTATAGTACACGTGACCAGGGGCCGAGAATAAAGCTCGGGATTGTGTTGAATTTGGGATACTTCTAAGCATTGACTTCCATCTACCCACCAGATCAGACAGAAATTTAGCAGGCTCTAGACAGTCCCCCTATTTGAACTGCAATTCCAACAATCATGAATTAGAAAATGCATTAGCTCAATTTGGGCCGCAAGAAAGGAATACACAAGGAAGTATAGTATAGCTATATTTCTGTTTTTTTATTGTTAATGTTATTTTTTTTCTTTTATTTGTACTTGTAAGACTGTTTTAAAGGCCAATAAATATTACTATTCTAGTACCTGGATGACTGCTAAGCGAACCGTCTGATCGAGTTCGAGCACGTAAAACCTTTTAAGACGTCACGGCTCTGATCAACAATACATGCAGAATCAGTTCTAGGGGAAAGGTTACATTTTACATTTTCACTGAAAATAAAATAAAAGTTCCATTTACAGTAAAAAAAAAATAGGTTTTTACACTTTACAGATAAAGCAAATTCCTATGTAAACTTTACATTGTTATAATATATTTGATAATTTGTGTTTAAAAATCAAAATTGGAAATTGCGTACGAATTACGACATTTAATGTGGAAAATGCTTTATACGCTTACAAAAAATAAAATCTTTGTACAAATTACGGACGAATAAAATAACTGATTACATTTTACACCTTGTCCCTGTCTTCAATTTTACGTTTTTTTATTTATTTATTTAAATTACATTATTACGGAAATAAAAACAAATGATTACAGCTTACGAAAATACTCCTTGCCGACCCTCGTTCTAGATGTACCGAGTAGACATAACCAAGTAAAGCTACTGCGACATGCGTCTCCATTGTACGAACAGATTGACTTTCCTGATAGAACAGTAGACGCATTATAATATTCCGTAGAGGCGTAAATCAATGGGATATAAAAGAATTCCCACGCAAGCCTGAAGCAACGTGTCTAGGTGGGGCAATCTAGTATTTGTTGGCCATCAAACTAAACAAAACTTAAAGTAACTGAGTCTCCTTCATGAGAGGCGGGTCACCGTTTGAACCACATGTCGTGTTTTCCGTCTCCCAAAAGATAGACACACTGAATAAATAAAAATAATACTTACTTGATACTGTCAATATACGGATGTTAACGATATCATGTACTTTCAACGTTTCGACACTGGTGACACCCTCACCAGTAGTTCATTTCATTCATTGGTGCGTTAACAATGAAGTTAGAAAGTATCAATCCGCCAAAGTGTATTTATCCGCTTGTTTACTTGCCAAGCACTATCTGAGATTGGTTTCGAGTTTAATTGTACTAAGCTTAAAAAACGGCATCGTTTTCTTTTTGGGCACTTTGTGTTGTGGATAACAGGAAAGAACTATTTTGTGTCTCGCCCGGGGATATTTACACTTCGAGGAAAACAATTCAGTGGGGTAAAAGGTAAGTATACGCATCGTGTTGGTACGCATCCAACGGCAACAAGCAATAAATCATGAATGAACAGGTAATGAATGGATACATACAATCCCGTGTACAACAATGAACAGGTAATGAATGGATACATACAATCCCGTGTACAACAATGAACAGGTAATGAATGGATACATACAATCCCGTGTACAACAATGAACGTTCAATTGGATTCGTGTTGTGGTGACGGTTACAGCTCTATTGAAGTTTGTTGCGTGGCGTTGGTCATGAACTTGTTATTTATTTATTTATTTATTTACTTATTTATTTTATTTATTTATAGATCATAAACGATGCAGTGTATTCAAACAGTGTCAGTTATATGTTCTGTACTCAAGGACATTTCAACCCAATGACTCACTCGACACAGTACAGACATCTTGAAAGTAGACATTGGGTACGAAACCGTGCGAGTACTCTAGAGATCGACGAGTACAAATGATACTCAGTAAGCCATGCGGATTCAAGACAAATCTCACCCCAAATAAGACCCGGATGTAACGCGTCACGTGTTTACTTGGGGTCCACTAATATCTTAATATTTTTTATTCTCTGTAATGTATTAGCTTAGTTTGTTTTATTTTATCTATTTACTTTTTTGTAACCTTTGTAACCTGTTATTCCTTCATAAACTTCTGTAACCATTGCCAATCCCTCCGGGGAATGCCGTGTGTAAGTGTAAATAAAATTATTATTAAATATAACGTGATCACAACTAAAAGGGGTCGAACAATAAAATACATTATCCATGACGTCATACTGTCATACCTTTACTTTTACATTCGGGATAATCTCGCAACGCAATAACGCGTATACAATTAAAAAGTAAACTACTTAATTAATGAATAAATTAATAAGTAAATAAATAAATCAGTTTTATAATCTTAGCTTTACAGTACGATAAAGTGATTATATTTAAAATGCGGTGGTCTTCGGGCAGCGCGTGTTCTAATTGCATGTATTAAATAAACAATGTATTTTAAACGCGTTGTATGCGTCGCTATGAGTCCCATATCGAACAGGACGCGACACGACGACTGCCGCCCTTCATAAGTTATACAAGTGGTTACATTCGGTACCAATCTCCCAGACAGAGTTTTACTTCATGAATGATGTCAACAGCAAATATGATCTTATGCTCGTCGTTGATTGGTCGATGCGTCACAGCGGTACTTCTTTCAAAGACGCTCACCAAAACATTGCCATTCAGGTGTTCGATTTTCGAACCCGACGAATGTGTACGCGTTGTTTACTGATTTTGGTTGTTTTCAAAGTTAGAAGCTTCTTTTTTTTTTCTCTAACACAAACGGTGTGGCATGCAGTAGGACGATTTAGTCTTCAATACTACGAAGTGCTTTCGTTTGTTCATATTTCTTCGCATGGCAAGCGACAGGACGGTCAGTTTGATTAACCGAGTAACACCTTAGTAACCGTTATTCCGCGATAAAACTATTTTTCTTTTGTAAATTATAACTATTTCACCCTTGACAGTGCATTTACGGAAAATCATTATCATTTATCGATAAAATATTTTAAATCTTGTTTTCTAGTCAGAATAAATCAACACGAGAGCTCTCTAATAACAAAAATACGCAAATGATACGCGTAGTAAAAGTCGTGTGGTGTTTCACCACAAAATGGCGGTGTGTGGTGACAGAGATACCTGTAAATATTTTCTCAATTTAATCACGTGTGAACCAAGCTTGATTTTCAATAAAATATTTCAGACTGGCTTAGATATCTTGCATTTTGTTCTTAATCCACAAAATACATGCGTCCACGAATTGTACTACATTTAAAAGCGGAGGGGTCGTCATCTGCGCACGCGCGGGAAATGAGTCCCAAGCGACGATAACAACCCTTGAATACTCAGTAAATGACACTTCTAACCAATTAAAGATTACATGTTTCCTATTTGTCACTGTTTCATTAACGCCAGATATGTATGCTTACCATGCGGCTGTGATTACTGCAAACAGAAGCAGATGAAATGCTGTGACTACACTACTAGTTGGACGTAAATACAATGCCGCGAACTCGTGCCACCTGGGCGTCAATGACAAAATGTTTACCGTGAAAGTAATGCAAACAGATTAACGGTGTTAGGCGTGCAGTACGTTCGGATTTCAGACAATTGGTAAATACTAGCTGTCTGGTGTATAACAAAGTATTTCACACCCGTTAAAATGATGTCGTTTTAACTTTACAGATATGATATATCAAAAGCAGATATCCTATCGTCACATTCCTGCTTTCTTAATTTAAATATTTAAATTATATTTATAATGTCAGTGACCTTCAAGAACGAACAATGTGTGTCTACTGTTTATAAGAACCAGTTGAATTAATATTCTGCAGGTATTTTCTCATTACTGATCCAACATTTAGTGATGTATATACTGTAGCAGATAATTGTATCTCACAAATTTGCAATGCAAATTTAACTTAATTACAACCGCATATAACAATAGTCTAAGAAAGAATGGTTATTTTGTTATGCCAATCTCATTTGATGCAACGTTCCAAATAAGTCGTACTGATGTGAAGTACAAGAACTGACATGCCTTGGTAACTAGACTAATTGAATCAGACTCACAACAATGGGTATGGAATGATAATTATATGAACTCTCGACAAGGTCACGTGGTTTTATTTTCGTAATAACAATGGCTGTACCAAAATCGTGACTAGTGCTTCTTATAAATGTGGCTGTGGTCGCCATTGCCACCATCAACCCTCTGTATCTGATTCTGTTTTTGTTGTTTTTGTTGTTTGTTTGTTTGTTTTTTTCTGATTTTTAAATTGTGCGTTTTAGTTGTCATATTGTCATGCATGGCAAATAACAACACATACTTTTGCCATTTTCGTTTGCCTTAGTACAAATAGAATGACGATAAATTCTCAGACCATATACCCTAGTTGATACAAATACATAGTAGAATAAATTCTCAGACCATATACCCTAGTTGATACAAATACATAGTAGAATAAATTCTCAGACCATATACCCTAGTTGATACAAATACATAGTAGAATAAATTCTCAGACCATATACCCTAGTTGATACAAATACATAGTAGAATAAATTCTCAGACCATATACCCTAGTTGATACAAATACATAGTAGAATAAATTCTCAGACCATATACCCTAGTTGATACAAATACATAGTAGAATAAATTCTCAGACCATATGCCCTAGTTGATACAAATACATAGTAGAATAATTACTAAGTTCTATTTAGTGTTAATGGTATTTAAATGCAGATGACTTACTTTACTTAAATGATTATTGAAAATCTTTCTCCCGTCAACAATTTAGAAAAAAACTTGCAATGGGCCTCGTATAACTCTCGTACGCATTTGTCTTATTTTAAGTATTTTCGAGAAAAATAACACAAAACGTGCGATTTTGCCAACATTCACAGATTATTAAAAATCAATATGATACAAGAATTGTTTTATAAACTTTTGTGACAATAACATCCACATTAGTAATACAGTATTGACAATTCACGATGATCGTCTTGTTTTCCATACTATTTCAAAAACGGTGCACAAAGATGATATTGGTTCAACCATGGAAGGTACTGTACTTGCCATGGTTCAACAAACGTAGCCGCACTGTACATGGTGCCTTTTGTTCGCCTTATTTCCACGTTCTGATTTTCTTTGTTGTTGCCCCAGTTTCGTATCCTACTCACTTTCTTGGGGGTCTATTCTCAGACTGAATGGAATCAGATTATTGGAATTCAGACTAGGGTACAGTATTAATTATCATTGTATGGGCGTGAATCGCTTGTTGAGTAATGTAAAACATTGAAATAGCTACATGCCATTTTAGCGAATTTGACTCAATGCATGAATTAACAAAATCTTATTTTAGCTAAAATGCCAATAATCTAATTGTGAGAATATACTTTATTCTAAATTAGCGACATCTTGAATTAGCGAAATTACAGGTTAGCTAAATAAGCTAAAATGACATGCTAACTAAAAAGACGTGTTTTTCAGTATTTCTTAATCAGGCCACCGTCCCTCAACAGGGAGGGAGATCAGTCACATTAAAAGTTCAAGCATTTTGCGTCCCTTTTCGAATATTAAATGGTAAATAAATTGTTTTACTTGATACTCGGAATGATTTTGCCTTTCCACAGTGAGACATGATATACAAGTGTATTCTAGAGTGTATCAATTGTTTAATATTCAAATAAGCGCCATTTTCGTAGTGGGCCACTTAGTTTACATTTCGTATTTTAGAATTTGTCGGAAAATGTGTATTGTATAAACAGTACCACCTACATTTTTGTTATCTTTTTTTGTTTTTAATTCCAGCCGTATAAACAATGTATGACATGAACTTGGTAGTTTGAGAAATAAAGCAGTTCTTCATTAGTACTGACGAAACAGATCACACCCCCCGTCTGACTCTCACTTTATATATCGAACCTTTCCCCACAGAATTCGTGAACGTTTTTAATACGAGGATTCTTTATCTGATAAGGTGAGCAAAATGTTACTTCACGAATTTTGCTCACTATTTAACACCCCCTTATTTTTTGCAATTATGCATTGACAGTTGATTTTCTGACAAAAATAGACAAGGTAACACTACAACAACTCCGGCGGGGTAACGGTTTTTCGTCAAAAACCTGATTACAATCATACCCTGGTTTTTTTTCGATTATTATTTTTATAAATTATTCATTTTATTTATTTATTCGTATTTTTAAAAACGTATTCCATTATTTCCATGTTTTTAATTGTTCGTTGTAAAAAAAATAGAATTAGTGAAATAAACTTGATTTGGAAATCATATGACTAAAATAACAAAGTTAATTAAAAGAATAAAAACAAATTAAAAACAAAACGGAGAAAAACTTCAATAAGATTCATTGTTCGATCCGCCGGGTCTCTACTCATGTTGAGGCGACTTGCATGCAATGAATGTTGGCTGGCGAAGAAGAATAACAACCGCGATATTCGTAAGCAGCGCCCTCATAGGGTAACCTCGTGCAACCAACGGCGGAAGTTTCGAAAATCAAAACATTCAATATGGCGACAAGAGTTGGCGTAAGATCACTGCGTTCCTCTAAAAGAAGCGATCTGGGTGCCCAAATGGGCGATAGGACGGTGAAAATTGCACCGGTTGGTGCATGGGTAGAACCCGTACGTATTAGTGTTGATGAACAATGTCATGCCGTGGTAAGTAATTGTTTTTACACAAAAAAACCCCTCGCTGATCATCATGTTTTGAGATGACCGTACGTGTTACAGCCTGTACCTCTGTAAAACCATCTTTTATTTATACTGTCTTCGCTTATTTCAAAATATTTCTCCATATTTTAACGATGATCAGATTGAGAGTAGTAGCCTTATTTATTGTAATCATTTAATCATCATGCTTACTGCAGGGTTATGTTGGGCTGCGAATTTCATTGTCGTGAAGCCAGGATCATAGTACGGGTAGTTTCCATGCACACATCAAATGAATGTGTCAGTTTAGCCAACTTGAATACCCATTAGACGTGCTGCAGAATGAGAGAAAAAATCTATCGGACATCTTAAAGTTATTCTTTCAAAAATGCTGATTTCTCTTTCATTCATTATTTCAAGTGCTGAATGTTCTTTTTCAAATACTAGATCATGACTTGACATGATTTTTAAAGGGTGTATTCACTGTTGCTTGTTTTCTGACAGTTGCAGTTTTTGCTAGCCGTGGTTTCGCTGTGTTTTGGGTCCTGATAGGTTTTGAGCTATATCTACAAACACTTGTCAATCATTTTTACATATTTTTCCATGTCTGGATTAGTTATTAATGTCTTCAGTTATTAAAGTCCTTGGTCATGAAAGTTTAAGCGTGCAGGATTTCACAATAACAGTGATGATTCCTAAGGAATGTCATAGTTTTGAGGAAGAAATTATGGTAAGGGTTGGGGTAGGTTTAAGTGCCTGTGATGATGACTGAACTAAACAGTTAAAAATCGGCCTGGCAGTTGA